TACATCCGTACAGTAGAATGCAGAAGAAGAATTTTCAACACACTTCAGCAATAAAAAAGACACAAATGTTTGTCTAGACTCTAGAGTAATGTTTGCTTATAATTATGGTTGAACTGGATCATCGAAGGTCAGAAGCTAAGACATTGGTTAATAGAATGGGATTAAATACATAAAGGATATTTGTGTTGTTTAACATTTAATTATTGCAGGTTTGCGTCATATTCTGAGTTGCATTATTTTTATTCATTTTGAGGACTACTGAATCTGTGTTTTTTTGTGTGTGAGTGAGATGAATTAATGCATATTCATATTTATTTTAGAACTACAGTCCCATCTTCTGATTTCTCTCAATATGAGGACAGGAGAGCTGTCAATCAATAAATTGGAAAAAAAAGTAACTTACGTTACTTATTTGAAAAAGTAACTCAGATATTCTCTTGTAAATTAAAAAGTAATGCGTTACTTTACTAGTTACTTGAAAAAAGTAATCTGATTACGTAACTCGCGTTACTTGTAATATATTACCCCCAACACTGATCATAGGTGTACCGTCCGTAGCGATTCAGGATAAGCTAAACACACAGTTTGGAAAATGGTTTCATGATGTACTCACTTATTATATACATTTTGTAAGTTATGAACACAAAAAAAAGGTACGGACTGCGCCGCTTCGATTAGACCTGACACAAAATGAAACTAAGCCAGCTTAGCTATTATCGTTTACGGAAAGATATATTTAAACGACTTACCAGGAAAAAAACATAGACACAATATGAGCAAAACAAAGCCCTTCATTTTAAACACTTTTTCCGTTGAAAAACGAGAGCCGATTTTGTGCCCATTTTGGACTACATACAGTATAACTTAAGCCAAGGCGTCCGAACCAAGAATGAAAGAGAAAGTTCACGAGTTCTTTCGACGCCAAATAACAGAAGCTTGTGTCAAAAACAAGAAAACACAACTTGATTGTTTTGCTTTCGATTTTAAAAATGACTGAAATGCAGTAGGGCGTGGCTTCTCAGTCACCTGCGCTCGATGCTATATTTACCATACCACTCCGTTACTAATCGTATTTATATTGTATTAGGTTTATTAGATAGCGTGCACGGTGAAACCACCAAAGGATATAGTTTAGCGTCCCTGTTATGCTATAGTCTTTACATTCTAAAAGGATTTGTTATCCTGTGGCTCCCTCTGGTGGACATATTAGTATTAAGGGCTTCAAGAAAGTGTGGTAAAGTTGTTTTTATATGCATTAGTTGGCATTCGATTCTTTTCTTCAACATTAAATGATGTGCCCTAGCAAATTCCTGTCAGTTCATGCTGTATCTCGTTCAGATCATGCTTCTAAAGCATAAAGCACCTGATTAAAGTTTTGAAAGCAAGGCTGAGACAGAAAGCATTGCATATTTCTGTTTGGAGGGTCAGTGGCTGCTTTGCAAAAGATCAACGGACTCGCTTTGATGTAAGAGTAGCCTAACTTATTCCATTAGGCCTACTTCTTGTTATACATCTTAACATCCATAAAGGGTATTGTTTGACCTCTGAGTACTTTGATTGGATGCCCAAGGCATCCTATATGTTGCTGTATGAATATAAATATGACACATCTTCCTTAATAAAGTTGAGAGTGTTATGGCAGCACACTGACTCTCTGTATCAGCTTGATTCTCCGGGGATCCTGCGCTGCGACTGCTCTACACCACACTTGATGACTGCTAGCATCAAGACCATCTGAACAACTTACTGCAAAGCCTTCAGGCAAAAGAAGACAAGTGTTAGAACAACATATTAATTTACCCAGAACAACAAGGTAAGAACTTTATAACTTTACTCAGCAAGTATAAGATATACAAGAAATGTGTCTTGAAGCAGATGGAAAAAACATGTACAAACAAAACCACTTTAACAGAAAGTTGCACAGCTGGGTTAAAGTGAAGTAACTAAGATATATGAAAGTAAAAACAAACTGCTTTAGTAAGTTAAACGTCAGTAGAAGGTGTGTTGATGTTTGTGTGGTTCACCAGGTCATGGAGATTCATCAGTCTGCTGTCATTCTGCTGCTGCTCTTGGCTGCTTCTTTCACTGCTAATGGTCAACCAGATGATATAAAGCCCCGTTATCAAAAATTCCTCAATCAGCATTTGGGTCCTCATGTGAGTGAGCATGCTTGTGACAAAGAAATCAGAAAGAGAGATACACTGCCTCTGGAACGGCAAATGGCTGCAAAAAAAGTCAACACTTTCATACAAGCAAATAAGAATTATATTAAAGTAGTTTGTGGAAGAAATGGAGGAACTCCACAGGGCAATAATCAGTTTAAGAGCAACAAGCCTTTTCCTGTGGTCACCTGTAAATTAAAAAGTGGGCAGAGACACCCAAATTGCCAATATAGAGGGAAGAAGTCTACTCGTTACATTGTTTTGGGGTGTGATCAAGAATGGCCTGTACATTATGAGGAAGGCATAATTAATGTATAGATGACAGGCTAAATAGAGCCTCACAAAGCTTTACAATATTTTGCTAATCATTTGCTCACCACTTCTTTTCTGTCTTTTTCTGTCAAAAAATTGCAGTGGCTTTTAAATAGATTTTCACATGCGCTGTAAATTTGGCAACCACTGCTTGATACAGTCAGTCCAAAGTCAACCAATGAGGCACAGCTGTGAACGTGAACACAGTGGCAATAGATGCATGTACTTTAAAACATGGCATTGTTTTTTGTGCTTTAAAAAGCTATGTTACAATCTCTAATTATATTTGAGCAATATCAGTTTCTCTCTCTCTCTCTCTCTCTCTCTTCAAATCTCTCTGAGATCTTCACTTCTTCATGCATGTCTCTGTGTGTATTTGTGCCTATCATGTGCATGATTCAGCTAGTCTAGAACAATTTTAAGCACTCTGTTAACACTTGAGCATTAAAGAAAACAATTAATGGGAATGTGCAAAAGCCGATGAGGATAAGAAAGATGAAGATGCTTGGTCTGCCTGTCTGTAAACCTCAATTATACTTCTCTGTCACCATTCATTTAATCTGCTTGATTGTCTTGCATCTCAATAACACCAATTTGAAGGTAAATATCAACAAACGTAAATTTAGAGAATAGAGGAGAATCTAGGTGGAGATCTAGATCAAAACCATGACTTGAAGCCAAAACCAAAGCCATATGTGGTCTCAAGACCAAGACCACAAGATCAAGACTATTGGCTTATGGCTAACAAATCAGATTAAATATATAGTTAGTTCAGTCATGAAACTCTAGATGGCGCATTCTGAAAGGGTGTTAACGTAATTGATGATATTCACACACAAGCTGATTGGTTCATGCTGCATATGCAGCCAATGAGCTTACTGCCTTGCATTTATATGGCTGACTAGCATTCACTTGAGATTCATGCAGCGCGCTTTCAGAGTTTTCTGAAACTCAACAGGTAGATAAGTAAATGGTTTTCACTCTGATTTCAGTGCATTATTGTGTTCGTCAAATGTACATTTTTAAACTAGAAAACATACAAATGTAAAACTGCGTGCAGGTTATTCACGTGAGGAGTAATTACTAAGCATGTATTGTTCATATAACAGCAGTAGCAAGCAGTTTTCCTGGTTCATGTATGTGAGAATACAACATAAAGCATCGCAAATTTTAGAACAGTAAAGTGAATTGGGGATTACCTTATTTGCACGAAATCTCCAATGCTTTTAATTTCTTCTGTGGGCATTCATTTCTACATTAACTGCAAACGGATCGCTTCAGATGCACATCAATAGTGGGGTAGGTTTGCAGTTGGCGTTTCACAGTTGTTCACAGTTTTAAGTCAAGGTGAACCCGTATAACTGTCTTTCATAAACGTCATACTGTCAACAGCCTTACGTATTTTAATGATAAAATAATATACCCGCTCATACATGTACTCGCGCCGCATTGCAATGCACTTAGTCAGAAGGAGCGCTCATTCTTAAAGGGGCCACATCTCTATTTCACTCGTTACCTTGGTTCAGCAGAGTATCTTAGAATTCAGATCACGTTATTAGCGAGTTGCAGTATGAATAGCAAATCAAGTCAAATTATTAGTTGTTTATAGCAGTGACAGCAGGAAGTAGGGGCGGTCTCCAAAGCTCATCAACTGGTCACTGGGGTTCCTCAGGGCTTTCAAGCGACAGCTCTTTAAACGCTACTTGACTTCATCTTAAAAACTCTTCATCTTTCTCTTTATTTATTCCTTCCCTTTTCTAGCTTGTACTTATTTGAACAATGCCTAAAACTTGGTATTTCAAGCACTTCCTGTGTCTGTTTGCCTCTTTAAGAAGAATCGCTTTATGTATTCCCCAATTGTAAGTCGCTTTGGATAAAAGCGTCTGCAAAATGACTAAATGTAAATATAAGTATCTGGTTGCAACTTGCATGAAATTTCAGTGATAACACATGGGGTAAGTAACTCTTTTAAACTGAAATAGGCTTTTATAAAGTCGTTTATTTACCAGGGCATACAGAGATTTTGTGAACTCTTCAAAGCGAAATAGGCATTATTTGTTTGTGTTTCATTTTTTAATAAAGACGCTAATGGTAATTCTAAGTACTTTCGTGCAGCTGTAGCAGCAGTATGCATAGCTATTCAGATCGCAATTTTTAGCTAATTTATTTTTAATTTAATTTAAAAGCAGCAGAATGGCATAGCAAATTCAGATGCATGTTAGAAATAATAGCAGCAGTAGTCTGCATATCAACCAATTATTATTGTTAATATAGCAAGGGCAGCAGAAAGTACTTTAGTTGCATGAAATTTCAGCGATAATGCATAGATGAGCTACAGCAATTCTAGTACATTAACGGAGTGTAGCAGCCCATATAATTTCAGATTGCCTTATTAGCGAATTATTAATAGCAGTATGCATAGCATATCAAATAATGCATTTAGTAGCGGCAGCAGTAGGTAGACTGTAGCTTACATTTACATTATTCATTCATTTTGCAGACGCTTTTATCCAAAGCGACTTACAATTGCTGAAGTTTCAGAGACTTAAAATGGATGGTATGTGAACTCTTCAAGTGAATAGGCATCATTTGAATTTTGTTTATTTAAAAGGGCATATTCAGGTTGCATGTAGCTAATTTAATAGCAGCAGCATGTGTAGCAATTTCATATGCAATGTTAGAAATAATATTAGCAGCAGGAAGTCAAATTATTGTTGCTAATATAGCAGTGGCAGCAGAAAGTACTTTAGTTGTTTGAAATTTCAGTAATAACGCATGGGGTAAATAACTCTTTAAAGCGAAATAGGCATTTTATTTATTTGCTTCTTTAACTGGGCTTACATTAGATTGTGTGAACTCTTCAAAGCAAAATAGGCATTATTTGATTGTGTTTGCTTTTTAATAAAGACGTTTATAGCAATTCTAATACTTTTGTGCAGCTATAGCAGCATTATGCATTGCATAGCTATTCAGATCACTAGTTTAGTGAATTTTAATAGCAGCAGCATGCATGGCAAAATTAAGAAGCAATGTTAGAAATATTAGCAGCAGTCTGCATGTCAATCCAATTATCAGTGTTGCTAATATAGCAGCGGCAGCATAAAGTACATTTAATTGCATTAAATTTCAGTGATAAGATAACGCTTGGATGGTAGTGAACTTTTTAGGTTAAATAGGCATTGTATTAACTTTGCTATTCAGTTCAACAGGGTTTATAGAACTCCTCAAAGCGAGATGGGCATTATTTGGTGTTTGGTTATTTAATGAATGGGCAGTAGCAATTCTAAGTACTTTTGTGCAGCAGTATGCATCAGATCACAATGTTAGCAAATTGTATAGCATGCATAGCAAGTTCAGACGCAAGGTTAGAAATAATATTATTATGGCTAATATAGCAGCGGCAGCAGAAAGCACTTTAGTTGCATACAATTTTAGTGGTAACTCATGGAGGGTAAATTAACTCTTTAAAGTGCAATAGGTATTTATTACTTTGCTGATTCAACAGGGCTTACAGCAGGTTTTGTGCAGCAGCAGTAGATTATGCTTCGCAAATTCTGATTAAATATTACAACCGCAACATCTCGCACAATAAAATTCCTACTACAACATTGTGATTATCATTAACAGCAACAGCATGTACTTCAACTCAGTATTGAAATGTTAGTGAATATTATCAATAGCAGCAGTAGCAGAAGTTTTGTTGCGTTGGCTGTATCACACTGCATACATTGCAGACCGCTTTACCTATCGTTATGGATCTATTGATTTGGTCATATTGTGCCACTCGTGGCTGGTGTAGACACCGTGTTAGAGTAAAATAGGCATTCGCCTAGCTACTCGTATGCCTAATTAATGAAGCTCTCAGCAGTTCAGTCTCTTGTGCAGTAGCAGTAACTTGCATAGGCATTCATTCATCAAGATTTTTCTCAGCAGCAGCATGCACAGCATTACTATGTTTCGAAATTTAAATTTAGACAATTAATATAAAAGCAGACAATGCATTTAAATAAAGTCACTGTAGTGTCTTGCTCAAGGCCATCTTGGAACGAGCCACACATTTAGCAATGATGTGTGGATGCAAACATTATTGTTCTTAATATGCAATATACATTTTTTTAATTATCAAAACAAATGAGCAGCTGCTTCCGAGGCAGAATTAGTCCTGGGCATATGACACCACAACTACAGGGTGTACAGTGATTTATTCTTTCTCCAAATATTTTGTTTGCTTATTAATAAGTTAAAGGTAAGTATTTCCACTGCAGTAACGTTGATGAACTTCAATGGGGGAAAACAAAAAGAAGATAACTCTTGAATGACAAATTTAAAACTATTTGCTCAGGCCGCCCTAGCCCGAGTCATCTATCAGCCTACAGTGTGATTCCTGTTTGTTAATGATACACAGTGCGCGTTTCTACCTAGGCAAGTTTGATTTATTGGCTCAGACATGCATAGTTATTTAGGTCATTAGTTAAATAAACCAAAGGGTACAGCACCCAGGTTCAAATTGTTAAGCCACTAGTTAATTTATCTGGGCTTCATTAGCCCAGAAACACTTTTAATTCAGGTCACTAGTTTAAGCTATCTGGTCAACCGATCAGGTACACACAGCAATGGTTCAGTAGAGTTAAGCCATTTGGCAAAGCCGGCCCAGGCTCACATAGAAAGCAAACACACGGTCTCATGGCTCTCTAGAGCAGCAGCAGTACATATGTATTGGCTATAGATCTGCTTGTTCTGGGGGGGGGGTTATCTTTTATATTCCTTCTGCCTTATAGGGATGATTTTAAGCATATTATTGTATAGCATAAGCATACATATTTAATCGTTTTGTTTATTGGTTATTTTATATGCTATTTGTGCAGCAGCAGTATGTCTTAAATACTCATGGCACCGTATCGCCATATGCATTGGCAATAGCAAGTTCCTGTACTTGCTTGCAGCAGCAGCAATAATCTACAACTACAGCAAGAACCAACAGCAGCAGCAATGTAGCAGATCTGTTCCGCCAAGACCAAATATATTAACATTGTCATATACATCACCATGCTAAAATGTTCAGAGAG